CTCTCTCCATAAAACGCTAATGACTGTAATCTCTCTCACACTCACTCACTCACTCTCTTTTAATGCTAATCAAGTGCGTATTTGTTTTTATTATAAAATATTCTTTTTCCTCTAATAAAAACATTTAATTGACGTACCTCTATGAATCATCCTCTAATGCAATCTCATTGTTTGTTTATTTGGATTCTCTGTAAATAAGTTTTCGTCCAGAATGGCATGTCTTATTCATGCAATAATTCTGTGCGAGATAATGTATTAAAATTTTTATTCTTAGTCAAATAAATATAAAGTTTGAATACTACGTTTCTGAATATGTTTTAAGTTATTATATTTTTTTATTTGTTAATTTTTGGAATGCCATTCATTTGATATTCATCGTGCATTCATTCGATAGAATGAATTATATTAGCGGATAAGTTTCGTGTAAATGCCGATAATTTTTACATCAGTTACAGAATTCAGATTCTCCTAAGAAAGTATTCAGATTAAGATTAATTTAAACAGTATAAGGCAGCCATTCCCAAATGGTTCCGCGAGTTAGTACTTTTTATAACCCGGGATGAGTACTTTTATAACCTCTTGTTAGTTGGCACTTTTTACAATCTCTGATTATATTTAGATCAAAATTCAATCTTTCGGTTGCCTTTATGAAATTATTTCTAGTAAAATACCAAGAAATGACAATTTTTAAAAGAAAATATATTTATAATAACAGTATATTGAAACGAACATATAAGCATTTATAGAAAATTGCGTTAGTATTTTCTATCGCACTTTTCAAGAAAATAAAATAATTAATTTCTTTAATTAAGGAAAATGTTTCCGAAATAATCATTTTCAACGTTATAACAGTTCTTTTAAGTTAATTTCGAAGTAAACGATAATTTGGCTCATTTTATTCATTTTCAGCTTATGTATATACACAAATAATAAATTCATAACTAGACTAGAAATAGCACAAAGACTGCAAATTTAATTGTCGGATATAAAAACCTAATTTAAGATTCTCAATGATAAATCGATGAAAAACATTCATTCCTCTAATTAAATATTTTAAAAATTGTCTTTTATAGGTTTTAAAGTTCGCAATTACCTTAATAGACTTTAGTTTTAAAGTCGGTGCTCCGCTGAAAAAAAGTTTGATTATTTAAGGTTCCGTAGCCGAAAAAAAATTTGGCATAATAATTAATAAATAATGATAATGTAAGCAATGTTTTGATAATGTAATGATAATGTAAGCAATGATAATGTTTTTTTTTACAAATCTATTTTGCTAAAATTACTATACTGTTCGAATTAATTGGGACAAATGAAAAAAAAAGTGATTTATTGAAACTTTAGCTTTTAATCATTACATACCTTAAGTTACATTGATACGTGTCTGTATTAATATGAAGTATGTCCTCCTTTAGCAGATATGACTTCAAGAACACGTTTTGGCATTGATTCCACTAGTGTAGCGCACATGTTCTTGACTTCCTCGTCGTGGAACCATACTTGAATAGCACTTTTTATCATTTGTTCATCTGTTCATCTGTCGTGCAATTCATCTTGGCTAAGCGATTCTTTAAAATATGCCACAGGTTCTCAATGGGATTTAGGTCTGGTGAATTACCAGGACAATCAAGCACTTTTATTTTGTTTTCTCGCATAAATTTCTGGACCAGTTTGGAATTGTGACAAGGAGCCAAATCATGTTGAAATGTTCCGTCGAATGTTTCCATGAATGGAACAATCCTACTATGCAATATATCGATGTATTTGGCTGAATTCATCATGCCTTTTAGAGGCACTAAGCTTCCAGTGCTATTTGTTCTGAAGAAACCCCAAAACATTTGTTTAGAAGGGTGTTTTACGGTCTGTTGGATATGATCTGGTCTCAGACTTTTACCTTCACTTCGTCTAACTACACTTGATTTGTATCCCTGCACAAATAAATGCGTTTCATCACTGAAAACCACTTTCTTCCAGTCATTTACAGTCCATTTTTGGTATTTTCTGGCCCATGCTAAACGTTTTTTCATCATTTTCTGAGTTAGAAATTGTTTTTACCTTGGTCTTCTTGCCTTACATCCAACTTCTAGAAGCCTTTTTCGTACAGTTGAAGTACTCACATCAACACCACAATCCAATAAATCCCTTCGGAGGTCTGTGCTCGTCTTTCTTGGATTAATTTTACTATTTCTTATTAGACTTTTATCAGTTCTTGGAGTAGTTTTCCGTTTGCGTCCACATTTTCCTTTTCTTTTTGGAGAGGATGAGCCGGAATCTTGAAATGTTCTAAGAATTCTGGAAACACTAGATTTCCCTACACCAACTGCTGTAGCGATGTCTCTTACAGTCATAGAAGTGTGTTCATTAAGAGCGATAATTTTAGAGCGCTTCCTTGGACTAATATCCATTTTTTATAAGCACATAACTTGTGTTAGACTAAACTCAAAATTATAACCACCAATTTCCACACTGAAATGCTCACAACTGAACTACAAATACACAAAAACCAGTCAGAATAGTAAATTATAGTGAAGGTCTATCCGTCACCGCAGCTCAAGGCAGATATAACTGGTTTGAAGCGGTTTGGGACATCACTGGCAATCCCATACCAACTCGAATGAGAAAATCTTGCTTGTCCCAATTAATTCGAACACTATAGTAACTCCCCCTTTTTTTAATGGTAAAAATACGTAGTAATAAATGAATAATGATAATAATTAATAATAATAAATAATAATAATAAATAGATAATGAGAATACTAATAAAAAATGATTGTCTAAGTAAAAAAAAAATTCTAATCTATTTAATGCTAAAGTTAACTTCCCTTTTCCTAAAGCCTTATGTTGAAATAGAAAGCAACTTTAAAATTTCAAATAAGAATGACGGGTTCTTGTGGTGTTTCGTTGGATATATTCGAATCTTTTATATTTTTTTAAAAAATAATTGTTGTGTATTATTTCTTTCAAGAAAAATCACTTTTCAAAAAAGTCTCTTTTTAAAACTTTTTTTTTTAGTGTAACAATTTAATTTTTACTAGTCAATTTTTTAAAATAATCATTGTAGTGTATAAACTTAACTTTTTTTTCTTTAAAAGAAAGCATTTTTTAAAATAGTTTTGTCTCCTACAATGTTCACTAAGAAAGTTTCGACAATTTAATCTTACCCTTCCTATGACACTTGGTTTCAGAAGAAATTCGCCGGAAATTTATCCTGATTTAGATAATTTCCTAATAAAAAGACAATGGGCAAAATGATCAGAAATCGTTATTTTGTAATTAATTTTAGACTTTTTAGGTTATCAAATCCTCTAAAAATGTTGATTTTTGAAAATTTTTGAAAATAATGGTTGACATTCACTGAATTGTACCTGATGTTTACTGAATTTCACCACGATCAAATTGCTGTAAAAAATAAAGGAGAGATTCCTCACTAGCTTTAAAGTGTAACTCACATAACTTTCTTGAAAAATATTGCAGAAAAAGCAATTTGTTTTGGAAAATAAAACAACAATATTTTATAAATAACCAGCGATTGAGAAAGCATTTTATAAAAAAAGGTATTAAAGTGTACAGTTTGCTGTGTTCTGTTTCAAAAATCTTGCCAATTTATTCTCGCCAAGTTCTAAAAACAGTTACAAAATATCTCAACAGTTAGTGTCGTTAATTGGGAAAAACTGTAAGGGATTGCAGTTAAAGTAACCACTATTTGTATCACAATGTGATGCCTCTAAGGACGAAATTATCAGTTTTTAAGTCTTCTGGGCTGAATCTGTTGATTTTGATATTTGCTGAGGATAAGTTGATATTTGGTGAGGATAAAGATAAGAAGATAAACTAACCGTATACTTGGATCTCCAATCATTTTCTTTAATCAATTTTTCAAATCGTAGTATACCTAAGATCACACTACCGAGTTACTTTTTAAAATTTTCACTTTACCTTCATTCAATTACCAAAAAATGGAGTAATCTTTGCAATTTTTAAATGAGAATTTTTTAAAATTATATCTGTGCATATCAGAAAATGCCTCACCGTGATTAGAAATTTACATTTCATTTAGGAAAAGAACAATAAGAAAAAAGTAATTTCAGCTTAAGTTTGAATATAGTATATTTATGTCCTAAAGCAAAAAATTCTCAAAACTAAACTGCGATTTAAAAATAGTAAATTCAATCCTTTTTTCTTCATAGAAAAATGTGTTTGCCTTTACTTATTTGTAAAAATCAGGAATATTCGAAGCAAAAATAAATTTTGAAGTAATCCTATTTTTATTTAAACAAAAAAATCTTTTTAGAAAACAATTTCTGTTACTTCTTAGTACCAAATTAGGGCAAACTTTTTAATTTTTTGGCTTTATTGCCTGGCTTGACTATCCTCTTATTTGTAACAATAAGAAATTTTTAAAGCAAAAAAAGAAATATTTGGCTTCAATTTAAAAATAATTATATTTTTATTTATGTAAACATAGATTTTTACATCGAAAAAAGATTTTCGGAATTTACTAGCAAATTAATTCAATCTTTTCACTTGTAAATTCGAGCTGTTTTCCTCAGATTCTTTTATTTGAAACAAACAGTAAAGTAACAGTAAAGCAACGGTGAATTAAAAATAATTTTTGCATTATATTTAAAAGATTCATTTTTGTGTCCATAAAAAGTATCGATTGAAATTAATTTAATTTTCTAAGTATCTTGTAAAAAAGATTAATATAATCGATTTCAAAGAAACTAATTATTCGTGTTTCATTTTGCTAAAATATTATTAGTATGTTACGAAAAGTCAAGAGAAACTTCGATTGTTTTATGAAATCTTAATCCATTTACTAAGTTGATGCAATCAAATATTATTATCCAGAACACAATTTTTTCCCCCTCTAACCTTGAAACCTAATCGATAGAAGGGTGTATTACTAGTCCGCCTGACTCGGACTGTAGTAAAGCACGAAAAACCTGGCCCTAGTTCGAATTATGCTTTCCACTTTTTTTCCCTGACTATCATTTCTTCTTCAATCCGCTCTCTCTCATTTTTGGCTAGACTCTTGGCCATGAAAAGCGTCTCTATCTTTTACGTGATCATCGCCATGCGGAATTGATCACTTAGTATTTTATTTTTCCGTTTTCCTGGTTAAAGGTTTGTGATTGTGAAACTGAAACACAATGAGGGAAAAAATAGACAATTAAGATGCCAGATATCTTTCTCGTTTAAGTAATCGTCGTTCAATCTCGTTTACTTTGTGCATCTTCTCTGAAACTTGTGTGGTTTTGGTGAAAGGGAATAAAATGAGGTCTAAGCCCTCAGCTCACGTAGTCTCAGCTTCGTGGGACAGTTTCCTGGATAAGCAATATACGTCATCCGGGTTCAAACCGAAACCATTGTCCACGGGATTTAAAGGATTTTCTACTTTATTCGGTAAGGATAGATTATTAATTGTCTAATTTTTGAATTAGATGTTATCATATATGTAATAGATGTGTATGTATGATGTGTTTCTATATTTTTTTCTCTTTTTAACTGTTTCCCCTTAATGAAAATAAACGTAGAAAAGATACATGCTCCTTTTTTTTTTTAAATAAAAATTGTATTTTATTAAAATTAACCTCAATTTCCTTACAAATTGACAGTAAAATAATTTGTTAATCCACAAAAAAATTTATATTTAATTTTTTATAAAAATGTTTAGCTAAGTGATACAGAATATATTAATTTTATACATTATATTTCTTATTAGTTTTTTCGCTTCAAAACTACAGACTCCGATTTTTTTAATCGTTTTTAATTTTTGAATAAAATTTAGTGACACAGTCTTTGCTCTTTTTTTTGTTATTGTACAGTGTACAAAATAAAAAAAATGGAACTAATTAGCATTTTTTGATCTAGTGTCCGGATTTTCGCATTCCGGATTTCGTTTTTTTTTCTTCTTTTCAAGGACGCCATATTTTTTTCAAAAACAATAACCATATTTTTCGTTTTAAATCTTAGCATAGGTTGTACTAAACAGCAAATCCTTTATTTTAATAATCAATTTTACTGTGATACCCATTTTCGTTAAATTTGAAAGATGCTTATTCTAAGATCTGAAAGTGCGAACATGTAAGAGGTGAAAATTTAAACCACTGTCACTTATGCAAAATAAGTTTATTCTTATTATATTGTCATGATTTTTGACTGCTTGATTTTAAATCTCGAGATATTGAGAATTTAAATTCTATTTATCTAAAATGGTGGACCAGCTAATGACTCGTTCTTACTGCTATTTCTGTGCTTAGTTCCATAAGTTATGATAAATCTATGTTAAAGCATTCTAGTGTAAAAGAAAGTTGAGGGAAACGAATATAAAAAACCTTTACAATCATATCTTTTTCTTTCTTAACCTGTGCGATTTTATTAAAAAAGAAAAGAAAAAGACAATTCTATCCTGTTTTTAGAAATATCGACTAACTCTGCTAATTTATTCATCTGAATTAAATTGCACGCGATGTTTCGTGGCGATAAAAGTCATTATTTTAAAAAATCATGAGTTTTTTTTTGTGATATGTTAACGTAACGAATAGATCGTTTGATAAAATTTAGTTATTTGATAGCTTTATTAATCACATCAAGATATAACGCGACCTTGTTTTTTTTTTCTTTCTTAGTCATCTTTTTCTTTTCTTTTGCATGTAAATTTTTTTACAAGTTGTTTTCCTTCATTTGAAGTCAATTATTCAGTAAGAAAAGAAATGTAATTTGAAAAATAATAAAAATCAAAATTACGTATTGTCTTGTAGCTGTTAAGCTATACTCTATATTAAAATTGCATAGTAAGCAAAAGGAAAAACGAACTATCCTAAAAAACTTCTGATCGGATCTTCACGTTCTAGGACTCAATCTTAAAGGTTAAAAGAAGTGACCTCAAATATGCTAATTAATTAGTGCAGACGTTATTTGACAATATTTTAAATTACGAAATCAGACACAGAATCGTAATTTCTCTGAATAAACATATCTTTTTTTCGACGGATTCGGATTTCTGAAACTCAAGATATAGGCAGGAAATATGGTCCCAATAGTTTGGTTAGGAAGTTTACTTCTTGCGTATTTCACCATATCTCGAACTTTTTTAGTGAATTGAAAACATTTTCCTTATAATTGTAAAATTCGTTTATCCACCGATAATTCCATGCAAAATATAACTTTTAGTTAATATTTATTATTTTATTTAATAATTGGGTATAATATAAAAAAACATAACTACTTCCACTTAGTAGGAATAACATTTACCTTGACGCAATGCTAAATTCTGTGCCACTATCCACATAAATGCCACTATCCACATAAATCAATTATTAATCAAAAATCGAATATCAATTACTTTTCTTTATAATGCAATAAAATCTGGCGAGCAGCTATTTAAACGATCAAACACTTCGTTTGTTTATTTGTGGCTTGAA